GATTTCTCTTTAATGTGCTGAGACAGGTCCTTACCATGTTCAGCACTGAACTGGCAAGCAATTCCACCTGCAGTGTTGAACCAATTCCCCCTTGAGAGTCTCTGCATTATCCTGTCTTTTCGTGCATTTGTCTTATGTGGACGACCATCCTTTTTGGGGGACTTAAATGAATTAGTGTCATTGTAAAGCTGCAGATTTGGGATGACAAAGTTCTCTTGCAGTGGCTGAAAGTGTCATCCCTTTGGCCTTCATTTGGACAACTTGCTGTCACAGGGTTTCAGTCCCTTTGCCACCCTGCCATCTTTCAATCTCAGTTAAAATTGGAGGAATGCTGCCAGTTAAATAGGGTTTATCATAAAATTAAGGACATTAGCATCAGGTACCATGCAGATTAACACCAATAACTTCTCTAAATTAGAGATAGTTGTAAGTGTTCTCTAATTTTGAGTTCTTTTTCAAATATCTAATTTAAGTTTGTATATATATGTGTGTGTGTGTGTGTATGTATGTATACTGTGCTTCAGAATATACAATTAATTTATGAAATATGCTTAAAAAAACTGCCATTCTACTTCTATTAGGATAACTTCAAATAGAACTAAGCAATGACCTTGAAATTTTGGAAATTCTAGGTCTCTAATTTTGATCTCCACTGTATACACATAAAAAATATTTCATGTCATTTTCATCTTAAAAGTCTTTGTTTTCCACCAGGATACACATTTTTGGCACATTTTTTTGTCATATTTTTTCATTTTTCATTCATTTTTTCAAAAGTGAATCCTTAAAATGAATTTAATTTAAGGATTAATAAGTGATGAAGCCAATCAGCAGATATGGGGATGGTTAGGAGGCCATGATGGTCAGAGGCCAATGGACGAATTTGGCCGGGATGCCGGGGTTACTCCCTTACTCTTTTTCGAAAGACATCCTGGGATTTTTAATGACCACAGAGAGTCAGGACCTCGGTTTAACGTCTCATCCGAAAGACGGTGCTTTTTGTCAGTATAGTGTCCCCGTCACCACACTGGGGCGTTAGGATATATATATTCTAACACGTTTTCTTGGAAATGGAAAGAAATTATATTTAAAGTAACTTCAACAAGATCTTAATAAGAGTCCCTTAAGTTTAGGCACTACAAGAAAAATAGATGACAGCATGTTATTGTTCAGAGGACAAAATCTAACTCCAGCCAGGCAACTAAATTTAGCAGTCTTGCTGTTTGGGTGCTAATCTTCATCATGTTTGGGTTAACGTTACATATACAGTTTGGAATGGGCTATATTTGTAGTGTACAAAATATCGCTGATTTATAAGAGAAAACAAAATTTGCGACAGACATGATTAATTTTACAGCACTCCACATTCATTTCAGTGATATTTGCAAATGGTCGCAAAATCGTAAGACTGAAAGAGATTCAACCAGAGATGGTCTTATTTTTTGGAGATACCAAAGTCCACAGCAATGCTTTGAAGAAAGCGTAACGGCCAACTTGGATCACGTGTGCCTTGATGACCAATCACATTATACCCCCACTTTATCAGTACTTTATTCTTGAACAGATGACACTGTATTAAGCAGTATATAAAAAGTGTTTCTGTTGCTCATAAAAAGGTTTCTGTGTAGTTGACAAATGTTGCATTTAATTCACTTTATCTGTGATAAGACTATGCAAACACTGTGAGAGCGTCACTACCGGGAGCTAGGGATGGGCGATACCTCTTATTTTATTTTTGATCCGATACCGATATTTTCAAGCCCAGTATCGTCGATATCGATACCTCTAAACTAAACTGATCTTTTAAATTATTAAAATAATATAATCAGTAATTATACTGACTTAATGTTAGATTTTTAAAGCCGTGGTTTTTTTTTACATTTCATAGGCCTTTTTTTGTTTACACTGTCAGAAATAAAATATACTATAATTGTATTTTAGCCCTTTACTGGGGCAGTAACCTCAAAGGTGCACCTATACCACTAAAAGGGAGCATTAGTACCATACAAGTATGCATGCTTTAAGGGTAGATAAGTTACAAAGGTGCACCTTTGAGGGTACCTCATGAAAAATAAACATGGTGTTACATAAGTACTAAAATGTATTGTTATTATTATTATTACCATGGTAAATTTTTGGTTACTGCAGTTTTACTACAAATACTGTGGTTACTGCCAGGCTGTTGTACTTCTAAATGTGAAACTTTAGCATATTTCTTTCTGACAGATTTATTAAAAGCAATTACAGAACATAACACAATCCATTTGAACTTTTAACAACCAGTTTAAATAAATTTACTTGCACAAACTAGCCAATTTAAAATAAATATTACATGTACACAAAAGTTTGGGGTCAGTAAGATTATGTAATATTTTTTAAATAAGTCTCATGCTCACCAAGGCTGCACTTATTTGAACAAAAATATAGTAAAACAGTAATATTGTGAAATATAGCCTAACCATTAAAATAACTATTTTTCTATTTTAATATATTTTAAAATGTAATTTAAAATGCACCTGCGATCAAAGCTGAATTTTCAGTCTTCAGTGTCTCACGATCCTTTAGAAATAATTCTAATAGCCTATCATTTGCTGCTCAAGAAACATTTATGATTATTAGGCTATTGCTGCTTCATATTTGTGTGGAAACCGTGATGCATTTTTCAGAATTAATTTTATAGTAACAATGATATGTAATGTAATGTAATAATGTGGCAATGGTTTCTTAAGATCTACTTATGCTTCTGATGCTTTTGGGAAACGCAGCCCTATTTGAACAAACACTGTGACTGAGCCGATATGCAGATATGGGGATGGTTAGGAGGCCATGATGGTCAGAGGCCAATGGACGAATTGGCCAGCGAACGCTGTCTGTAGCTGGGTTTCCATCACCCTGCTTTTATGCGCATTATCGCATCAGAATCGAGTAAAAATGAATTTCGAATAAAAATGCCTTAATTCGCAAAAAAGTTTTTACGCTAGCTTGAGGTGGTTTTTGACTTGTGCGAAAAAGGGTTAATGCGAATAATGGGAGATGGAAATGCATTTTGCGAATAAATTCCTCCAAGCGTAATTTATTATATAGCTTATTTTCTCCTACTTTTCTTAGTGATGTATATAGTGGCAGTTTATCAGGAAGTGATGATTTTGTTCTCTTTGACTCGTTGGATGGAAACGGTGCTTGTTCGCAAATGTTTTGTGCGATATTCCAGTTTTGCGCACAAGTTAAATTCGCAACTTTGGATGGAAACCCGGTGATTGATTGGTTCTGTCTTTCAGTAGTTGCGTGTGTTCCGATGAGCAGGAGAAATAGTTCTATCCAACACAATTGTTCGCTAGTATAGTCTATTTTTCCACTTAGAAGCATATTTTATGGACCGAATTTCTTGATAAATAAAATTAGTGGTTAAAAATGCACTTTAGAATCGATATTTTTATGTGAGGATCCAGGGCCGTTTCTAGGCATAGGTGAGCTAGGCGGTCTCCTAGGGCGCCACCAGCTGAAGGGGCGCCAATGAGCGCACGTACTGGCACTTTTAGCAGGGTTGTGATCAAGAGTGGCACATTCACCCTGAACGGACTTCCTGTTGGTCGTAGCTAATGACTGTAAATTAGAAAGTTGTCCGGCTTGATGAGAACAATATATGTACCACGTTTGGTGACTGTAGCTAAATCTAATCCCCCAAGTTTTGTCAAAAGGTGGCGCTATAGAGTGCCTCATCCACACACTTTTATGAGCTTTTGCCAGTGTCTATATATCATTAATACTTATATGTGTGTTGAGTTTCATGCAATTCTAAGAATGTTATCTGACTGCCGCCCCCACTGGATCCCCGAACATTATTGGGCTAGAGTACTGTCAATCTCTGCCTGATTGTTGCATGCAAAGTTTGCATTTGGAGCGCGGGCTAGTTTTGAGCAGGGATGGGCGTATCGATCATAAGTATCGATATATCGATACTGACGCGAGTATCGAAAGTATCGATACTCAAAACTAAAAATATCGATACTAAGGTGTGTTTTATTTACCAGTGATTTTGTTTATTTAAAATAATAATAATAATGCGTACAAATGCATTGAATTGGACAAATAACCTTTGTTCGCAAGTAATTGTGTAGGATAGAACTATTTTCTTGCTCATCTGAACACATGCAAATGTTACAAGACAGAACCAATCCCTCACAGAGAGCGTTCACTCACTTCTAAAAGTGCATTCAAACAGGGCTGCGTTTCCCAAAAGTATCATAAGAAAGCATTAAAGCTTTTGGGAACGGCAGCCCTGAACAATACTTATCAGGGGACAGAAAAAAAACATATGTTTGAGTTATTTCACAATAAACAAATTGAAATAGTAGCCTACATAGTTTGCGCAATTACATTTATTTAAACTGAACGCTGAAAGATAATATAGATCATGTTCTATTCTGTAATGTTAATAGAAATCATACACTGTCAGAATAAAAAGGTTGCATTTTATGCGTGCAACAGTCTGTCACTGGCAGTCCCTTATGATAATGAACTATGGTTTTACTAAAGTGACCATAGTTCCACTGTAGTATTTGTAGATTTGAATCATGTGTAAACAAAAAACACATGTGTAAACAAAAATATAACCTAATAAATTACAATTAAGGTGTATTGAATGTTAAAATGTGTTTTAAACAAAGTTAAGTGGTTATCATTACCCATTTTACTCTTAGTAATTTAATAATTTAATACATTTCATCATTTAAAAGTTTAGTTCAGAAGTATCGTATCGGTATCGACGATACTGCCTTGAAAATATCGGTATCGTATCGAAAACAAAATAAGTGGTATCGCCCATCCCTAGTTTTGAGTAGTGATTCATTTGACGGGTTTTCTTTTGAAAACCTGGCAACCCTGTTGACGTCTCCACCTTTAATTCCGCCGCGACTGCAAGCGGCTGCTCTCGCCAGCTGGTGGCAGGCTAATATAGTTCATCTCGAACAAGCCTAATATTTTTTGTGTGTTGTCCTTAAAGAGCCACCGTACGTCTGAGGAAACCACGATGAAGTCCTAAAAAAATAAAAGCTGCAGAATAAACCAACTTTACCTAAAGACAGATTGAGATATGACCCGTGCTTTCGTTTTGTTGTGACGATTACGTCAATTATTTTCAACAATTTAAGCAGATAAAGTTAAACCTCATTTTTGAAGCCAGTATTGTGATATTTTTCATTAACAGGTCTCCACCTCTGTGATTGTGAATATATCGGTCAAAGGGCACATTGCAATGGCATTTGTATTGAGTTCTGCCTTCAGAAGTAAGTCATAGTTTGATCATCTGACTGCATTTGTTCAAATACTCGCATTAACAATATTCACTGTTTGTATAAATGTTATTGTGATTCAGTATTGAACAGTGGATGGAAGAATCAAACCTGTTAGAATCAAAATGATAAATTGAGTTCTTTTTGTAAAGCATTTACATTGGACAGTTGCATTGACGTTGTAATGAAACATTTGATTTGTCTGTAACTGCAGCTGAATGTAGGTGAATGTGTCATTACACACATACTGAGTTCAGTTAACTGGGTGAAAGGTCACATGCTCAATAATGTGTTAATTCTCCTTTTGAGTGTAGAATACAATACATATAATGGATAAATCTAAATATCATAACGATATAGCATGCAGTTGTAATTGCCAGCTGGAAAGTGTGTTTAAATAAATAATATAATAATGCATAAATGGTGCAGATAAGCTATGAAAAACATTCTATGTTTGGTAACCTGATTTACGATTAATTACAATTAATATTTAAACAATTAAAGCATACATTTTTGTCATTACATGACACAAATCTAATTTAACAACCACTTTTAACATTTAACTAACTCCTTTGATTTCATAACATAAAGTTATGTAACTTTCAGAAAGATCAGTAACTTTGTAATTGTGTAACTTGTTATCTACAAGTCATACGTTTGGAATAATTACATTTTTGTTATGCTACATTTAATAATTACATTTTTTTCTAATGCTCACCAAGGCTGCATTTATTAGATCAAAATATAAAAACTATGGAACGATATTCCGGACAATTTTCAAATAGAATAGCAAATTGTATTTTCAATTGCGTTTTCAATATGTGGACGCATAAATTGTGACATAATCCAAATGCAATTGCAAATCCTGCATTAGCGTTTGCATTTTCGCTTTCGCGAACGCACAGTGACTGCCAAATTTCAAATGAAAAAGCAAAGTCCATTTGCAACTGTATTTCCCATGTCTTAGGAGTTACGAGCCTGTCATATTTAAATAGCAATATTAATTACCACGTCTGCTTTTTCACTCTCGCTGCGTCGCGCATGTAACCTGCCAAAACTCAAATGGAATCGCAATTCCTTTTGCATTTGAATTTCCGACGTCTACATGGAAAGCTGCCAATCAATGTGAGGGGGCGGGGCTATACTAGGGGGCGTGTTTGTGTTGGGAGGTGACGTCACTCACAGACGACCGTGCCGAATGCTCTGATCAATGGAGGTGATCGGTAAAGGCTCCGCTAAAGGCAGCTACCAATCAGTTTCGTACCTGTGTGAACGAACAGACAGTGCAACCTTCTTGGCACAATACATAATTATGTCTTTTTTACCCCAAATGTAGGGATTATACTCTGCTAACAGCGGGAGCCACAACGGTACTCACAATAAATCAATATTCACTATAAACCAAACGCTTTTCACCTGTCTCTGCATCTCTCACTGTTTACAATCACTTACACTTTTAATCCGTAATAGTGTGTCACACCTGCCTCAAGACCTTTTACCGTTTGCACTGCACTTGATGCACAATATCGTTCCATAAAAAACAGTAGCTAATACTGTGAAAATTATTACACGATTTATAATATTTGTTTCCTATTTTACTATATTTTATTTAAAAACGGGATTTATTGCTGTGATGGCAAAGCTGAATTTTCAGCATCATTTTTCCAGTCTTCAGTTTCACACGATCCTTCAGAACTAATTCTTATATGTTGATTTGGTGCTCATGTGTGTGTGTATATATAAATATATATATATATACAGAATTTGAAATGGTAATCTTTTGTAATAATATAGCAAAGTTTATAAAAACTGCGATCCTCTACTTAATTTTGTCAGGAATACTCCACATATCTTTGCTTATTTATAATGTTTTTTTATTGTTATTTTTATTTTTTTAAACCTATGGATCTCTTCTTTCTGTTGTTTTATTATATTTTTATGTATAATTATTCAGTTGCATTGACAATTCATGTGGGTGCTAATGTTTTTTTTCTTTTTCTTTTTTAACGTACTTCTCTGTTTTATTCTCCTCCTTGGGGGCGGGTGGGGGATAGGGACCACTGAGGGTTATGACTGTTCATGTTTCACCCTTAGTAATTGTGAAAAAGAAATGTGTAAATTTGTAATATTGCAGTATCCTTTGTATATTAGAAATAAATGTAAAAAAAATAAATCCAGATCCATATGTAAAGTACATTTAGTTGGTGTTAAACTATTCCTCACCTGTTTAGTAGTTCCTCAGCTGTGTCTTCTCCTCTGCATGTTAGAAGTGTAAACCTGTGTATTTGGTCTGTGTTTTGTGATTAGAACAGGCTTTGTTGATTCCGTTCATGAACGCTGTTAGAGGAATGTCTTCATCAGGAGGACCGACACCCCCCTTCACAACCCTGTCAGTCACCCGGCCAGCTGAACCCATCACTCACGTCGAGTTCTGCCGCCCGGAGAAACGCAATGCAATGAACAAGGCATTCTGGCTGTATGACGTCTATGTCCATATCACATGCTACGAATAATTAATTTCCTTTAATTTCCTTTTAAGATTTCCTGTAATGCTTCATAAGCAATCATTTCACAAGTATCTCATCCTTCATATTGGAAAGAGTGCCCATTTTATGCCATTTCTATGTTAAAATGTTCTTATTTGGTGGTATGAGATTAGAATTTAAAGTGCACATTGATCTTAGTTATCTAAAATATTTGCAATCATGTCATGACAGGCTTAGCGATGTTCATGTGTGTTGGTGTTACTTCTTTGCTGTGCTGAATTACTGTATTTTTGTTTCACCTGTAGTGAAATGGTTGACTGCTTCAATCAGATAGCTGAGGACTCAGAATGTCGTGTCGTGGTTTTCTCAGGTGCTGGAAAGCTCTTCACTTCAGGTAAAGCCATCAGACGTCTTGCCACATATGACCAGTTGCTAGTCTAGTCCTTTTGTTTTATTGCAGTTTTGTGTTATCTGTTGATTGATCAGACTGTTCCTCATAATATGACAATCCATTTTCAAATTTTCATGATGTTTCATATCAACAATGTTTTGACCATTGGCAACTGAATATAATTTTTTTTATTTTGTTAGTTTTATGGCGATCTAGACCTAGATATTTAATTTTCTAAATTTTGCTTGCCTGTGCAATACTCAATGTCACAGTACTGCATGTAGGGGTTGCTGTGCAATTGGTAGAATATTCTAAGTGGTGTCTGTGTAGTTGTTTTCTGGCAAAAGTCAAAATTGCCCACCGCTGTCTCCTTAAATGTAAGGATTTTTTTATACCTATAATTTATTCATCAGATGGAAATCTGAACCACACAATGCAAGGTATAATTCATATCCATAGCACAAATGTTGCAGTAGTTTAATGCTTAGGGTTAGGGGTTTATTGAAATCAATTCAATATGAGCATTAGTTATAGTAATACGTGCCTTAGCACACACCACTAACACTTCTTAATGTATATATATTTAACTGCAGCTGGAGAGAGACATTCATTCTGCAGCACTGAAGAGACATAGATTGCATACTTATGTATTACATGCCATATATAAATATTTAATGTAATAATCTTTGTACAGGTATTGACCTCATGGGAATGGCCAGTGATATTCTGCAGCCCGAAGGTGATGACACAGCCAGGATCTCATGGAATGTGCGCCGTGTCATAACTAAATACCAAGAGACCTTCTCTGTTATTGAAAAGGTTACTTTTTAAAAGCATCATACTGTGAAAGCATATCAATACGTAGATAATAATAAAAAAAACATTGAGATCTAGGTAATATGGGAAATATAAGGAAAAATTAATACAAAAATATGCACGTTATGCATTTGAGAACTGCGAAAGGCATGCCATGAGGATGTTTGGAGGATTACAAGATTTTAAGTTGAACATTATGTTTGGCTTTAACAACCAGTCCATTCCAAGATTTGGATTTAGAAATGTAAACAGTCAACTAGGCTTTATCTCATATGCAGAAATCATATTTTTCATCATGTCTCTTGTGCTTTATTGTACAGTGTCCAAAACCAGTGATTGTGGCCATTCATGGAGCATGTATAGGAGGAGGTTAGTTCCCTTTCGATACTACACTCATACTGCATCTGCTAGATGCATATGGGAAAAAAGCCTTTTTCTCCTGAACTGAAGCCTTTTCATTCACGCAGTGAAACTGCACGGCCATTGGTTCGTGCAGTGTTTTAAAAACGAACCAATGGCTAGGCAGCGGAACTGCACGAGCCTATGGCGACGAAGCCAGCCAAAGCCCGCCAGAATGGGCGGGGCATCTGGCTATATAAGTGGGCGTTCGCCACAGGATTCTCAGGTTTCTTCTCCTTCAGCGACGACTCTACGTCCTCAAGCTGATCCGAAGCCGCTCGCCGTTGACATGCCTTCGCAGCTGGAATCGGGGACCTCTCAGCACGTCTGACCTGCTTCTCCGCCGCTCCAGCGACGCAGCAGTTCCGGTCCGGTTCCCCTGCCGCCATCCGGCGATATAAAAGAGCTTCTAAAAGAGCAAATTGGCATTGTTGCAAATGCCACGCCGCCACACGGAGTGCGTTTCCTGCTTGGGGAAATCCCATGCTGAAGCTGCGCTCACGGGAGCTATTTGCTCCCACAGCGAGAGCTTCAGTCTCGCCTCTCTCCGCTCACGGATTGCTTTCTTTTCAGAGAGCGACTCCGTCCCCCGCGCCCTCCCATTTTCTTCCTCTCAGGGACCTATTCCCCCATCCATTTCTCCCGGTCTGATCAGCGTACCTCTGCTGGTGCGAGCGACCTGATCTCATTTGGGGGAAGTGAGTACGAGCTGCTTGATTACAGCATGTCATTGGCATCATCGGATGCAGAGGAGCTGTTGGGCTTGGTAAATGACCCCACCCCCTCGCTATCGTCTGCACCCAGCGCCACCAAAGACGGGATGGATGCCGAGCTTCTCCGTATCCTCTCCAAAGCGGCTGAAGAGCTGGGTTTAGAGTGGTTTTCGCCAGAGGAGCCCTCTCGCAGCCGTCTGGACGAATGGTTCCTGCCGGGGCACCACCAGGCTCCTCGTCAGCGTGCTTCTCCGTTTTTCCCGGAGGTCCTTGACAAGCTCACCAGATCGTGGCTCGCTCCCTACTCCACCCGCTTCTGTACTGCTTCTTCATCCGCCCTCACTTCCATCGACGGCGCTGAAGAAAAGGGGTACGATAAGCCACCTCCCCTAGATGAGTCAGCGGCTGCGCATCTCTGCCCGCCCATGGCCATCGGCTGGAGAGCAAAGGCCGCTC